GCTTCTAGATCTGCTGATTGTGAAATTGGGCAGGTCAGTGGAGCTCACTCTGTAAAGGGGGATAAGAATAGGCAACCACCGAAACCATGGTGTCTCGTTTCTTTCCTTAAAATATTTCCCCTTCTTCCATTATTTTAATAGTGTGAAATGTTAGTAAGATTAATGAAGCAATTTTTCATTTCTTTATTTCTGTATAAAGAACACTCCAGAGTGGTGGTGGTGGTGGTGATGATTATGATGATGATGATGAAGAAGAAGAAGAAGAAGAAGACAATGACAAAGACAAAGACGACTCATGGGTGACTGATACATTTGGTGAAAAAGAAGCTGATAAATTAAGTGGGGAAAAACCTGGTTCTATTAGCAAAACAACAAAGACAGGGTGGGCAAATCTGGTGAGTCCATGAGAGCAGGGAGGCGAGACAGAGTCACCTCTTGCCCGAGCACCATCCATTCCAACAGAGAAAGGGGGGGAAAGCAGAGGAACAGAGATGACTGGACCCAAGGAGACAATCTCCAGAAATTCCTCTAGGGAGGTCACCAGGGAAGAGATGTCTAATGATCACAGGGAAGTAGAAGAGTTGAGGGAACAGTCTGAAAAGTCAGGAATGGAAGGAGGAGAAGATAAACTGTCAAGGGAGGTGGAGAAAGGAAAGATTGGTGGGAAAGAGTATATAAAAGAGAGTGGAGTTCCAAGGGGTGTGTTTAGCAGGAGAAAACGAGAACCAAAAGTAAAAAAAAAATCCTTTGCCCAGGTTAGCAATGGATTTAGCTGGAGAACCCCTGGACACAGAAATATGAGAGGCTGATGTTCCCAAGAGCAGAGGCTGAGAGGAGAGCGGTAATCCCTCAAAAGCCATCATACTAGGGTGAGAAAGAAGTCTAGGAGTGGGGATGCAGGCTGAGAGAAAAGCCCGTGTGGAGAAGGAGAGACGAGAGACAGCTAGATGGAGGGTATAGCAATCGATAGAGAGGAGAACCTCAGAGACCACGGGGCTTAGTAAAAAGGAAGGGAAAAGCGATGGTCAAAGGGAGCCCTTGGATCCTTGCTTTTCCCTTCCTTTTGCTAAGCTCCATGGCTTAGCAAAAGGAAGGGAAAAGCAGGGATCAAATTTTCTAATTTGGGGTTAGAAAAGGGGGGATGTTTTATACATTAGGTTGTCTTATAAATGGAAAAATATGGTAGTTTCACTGAAGTTCCCACAATAAATGTTAATACTTTACACTTGGAACGTGAGTCCATGTATGAAGAATCCAAACTGGGAAAAGGAGTTAAAACCAGTGATTCAAAACCCAAACCCTCACAGTCCAAGAGCCAAATTTCTGCCCTGAGGATACATCATGGGTTACAGCAGGAAGAAACCACCTACCTTGACCCTTCAGGTTCCTAGAATCATACTTCAGTTTTGTTTTGTTAAGGGAGGCTGGAGGGCCTGGCCTCTGTTTTATCACAAAATTGCTAGAGGCTTCTAGGAATGGAGTATGACCTTTTCCCACCATTTTTTCCCAAGCTGGGGAGTTGAATGGGAGGATCTGGTGACTCTGGCATCTCAGAAATGGCCCAGGGGGACATACAAAGCCACAGGCTATAGGCTAAAGGGCTACAGCCTAAAATAGAAGATTGATAAAAGAACAGCTGGATAACTCAGTGGCTGGTATCTCGCTCTGGAGCCAGAGGTTGGGAATTAGCAGGGGCTGGACTTCATGATCCATAGGGTCCCTTCTAGCTCTGCAGTTCTAAGATGATGATGGTGGTGATGATGATGATGGCGATGCAATTAATAGTTCAGCTGAGAACCTCTTATAGGAAGCACTTATTTAAAAATAAACCAGACTACACCACGGGGATGTGGTGGCGCTGTGGGCTAAACCGCAGAAGCCTGTGCTGCAGGGTCAGAAGACCAAGCAGTTGTAAGATCGAATCCACGACATACAAAGCCACAGGCTATAGGCTAAAGGGCTACAGCCTAAAATAGAAGATTGATAAAAGAACAGCTGGATAACTCAGTGGCTGGTATCTCGCTCTGGAGCCAGAGGTTGGGAATTAGCAGGGGCTGGACTTCATGATCCATAGGGTCCCTTCTAGCTCTGCAGTTCTAAGATGATGATGGTGGTGATGATGATGATGGCGGTGCAATTAACAGTTCAGCTGAGAACCTCTTCTAGGAAGCACTTCTTTAAAAATAAACCAGACTACTCTAACTGCTCAGTCATTCCACATATCCTTTCACAAGGTTTCAGTGCCATTATGGGGATATTTTCCTTTTCCAAACACTTACACACAGTATAATGCACTTCTACTTCAGAGGCTGAGATACAATGGATTACTTTGGTATCAAATGCCATATAAACCAGGACTAAATTCCTGCCTCCTTTCGTAACATCAGAAACATGGTCTGAAGCAAAGACAAATGGAGAAATAAATCATGGAAGCAGTATGCACAGCCCACAACCCTTGGTTGCTGAATGCCTGAACAGGACTTTAACCCAACTCAAACCATACCTATGTCAGACACATAATCGCATTTACTTGAAAATAACTCTGACGGATCCCACTAGAACTCACTTTAATGAATGTGCTTAGGGTAACAGCATTTCAGTCTGATTCACAGCTCAGCTACAACACAGACCAATTTAGTCATTGCTGAAGGGAATGAGATGAAATCAATTTAGAGTCTGACTGTACACACACTTGGTCATAAGTCTCCCTGTGTTTCTTGAGGCTAGGGCTCAATAATGTGTGCACAGGACTGCAATTTTATTCTCACTTATTTTGTCTTGAAGCTTTTCTTGATGATAAAATACAGTTCATTTTTTTCTATGCCACATTTGCACTAACAAGCAATTCAGTGTGGACAGCATGGTGTCCTATCTCCATGTCATAGAAAGTGATGTGATTAACCTTGCTTTAGGGGTGACAACTTAGCTTTTATAGGCCTCTTTAAAAAAACAACAACCCCGGTGCAGCTCTGTTGGAAAGGGGGGGAAACACACCACCTGAAAATACCTTTGTCATGTCTTGTATTTATAAAATAGGAGAGGAGAATCAGTAAAACTATGAAGTATTGTGAGGAGGACAGAGAATTACCTTGCTTGTACTTTGCAGATTTCAAGTGAAAAGTACAAGCAAAGTATCTGTTCACTGTTTCACAATTTTTTTAAAGAACAACAACAAAAGGCAGTTTGATAATTTGTGTTCTTTTCTAACATAGATCTTGTCTAATTTTGTTTAAGAAGAGACAAACAAGCAATAAAACCATCCTCTCTACACACAAGTTAGTTTTTGTCTCTTCTGTTATTTGGGGACAATACCTTGTGGCTTTACTTAAAAATGTTGTGGGTCCACTGTGTGAAGGAAAGAACTATTTTCTAAATAGTGTCGTCATTAGCTCCAAATTAGAATGGCACATCTCTAGGATGCACACCAGGGTCATGTGGTCAGTGGGCTACATGCTCCCCAACACTGTTACTACATTCACATGGAGGGGGAAAAATAATTTTTAAAAGTAGTTGATCATTTGTGACCTTCTAGTCATTTCCAATTAATCTGCAGGGGCCAGCATGGCTCGAGGGGGATCCTGGGGCCAGAAAAATACTTCTCAGATCTTTCCTGAAAGCCTGGAGCGATGTTGCCAGTCATGGTAGATAGTCTGAGACAGACAAGCCAATCATAAAAATAAGATTTGGTACATGATACCCGTCCTCCTGTTAGTGCAAATATCGGGTTGTGGTGTTTTTAAAAAACCAGGCACCTTGATAGACATTGTTGGGATGTGTGAATAAGAGCACATGCAAGGCTGGCGTGAGGACCCAGTATCTTTATGCCAGAATCCTGACAAGACCCAACAATGAAGTATAACCTTGCCCCCCCTTTAAAAATGTATCCAGCCTGGCACATAGAGCAGCATCAGATTGCTAGATCTAGCAATCATTTTAATATCCTTCAGTACCCTAGGTATAACAGTGTTTTTGCCTAACAGATCAGTTTGGGAAACAGAAACGATGACGGACATAGTATAATAATGTGTCAAGCTCCTAAGGATTTTGTGTTATGGTTACTTAATATTTTGTCTAGAATTTAATTTAATGGTATACTTCCTCTAGATCCATCAACAGTAGCTTCCCTGAACAGTCCCCATCTCCTGCCCTTCTACAGGTCTTCCTCCATACATCCTAAGGCCCTGTTCTGGGCTACCAAGGTCTCTGATCACATAGAGAGTCCAATAATCAACCTCTCTGTAAAAGTGAGAACCTGTGTTTGACGGTTTAACCACAGACCAAAGCAATGTGCCATAATCTTAATCTGACCTTAAAATCATAGTAATTTGTCAAGTTATAAAGAACATAAAAGAGCCCTGATGGATCAGACCAAGAGCCCAACCAGCCCAACATTTCGTTCATATAGCGGCCAACCAATTATCTACCAGAAGGACATGAATGAAAATGCAACTGGATCCTCCTATTTGTGCTGCTCAGTGACTAGGAGCCATGGATTCTTCCTATCTCCCTCTAGAAAGCCCAACTTGTCTGCTATTGCTACTTCTTGGCAGAGATGACAAAAGTCCTAGGGGCTGAGCGAGAGTAAGTTCTTAGTAATGGTTATGAGAACTCTGCATCCCACCAGTGGTACAGTATATAGATCACTGGGTCAGAATCCATGTGGGTAGAAGACATGCAGGTAATAAACGTTTCAGTACAATTGACAACATACTATTGTAGACAGGTAAGTTAGCATACTACTGTGCAACACAATGTAGATCAAGTTCGCTAAGTCTGCAACAACCACAGAACTCTTTTGTTCCTCTCTGTCCAGGTCAGCCTCCCAGAAAAAAAGGGCCAATTAGATAGTGCGCAAAGGTGACACCAACAGAAAGGCAAAATACAAGTGGCCCATGTACAGCAGCTTCCATGTCTGAGCACCTAAGAGAGCTTTTAACAGTGTCATTATTACCAGCCTCACAAATCAGTTTTTAAATATATAGTTGTTTTTAATTGCTTACCAGCTCATTACTTCCATCTTCATCAAAATCTTCCTCAATCCCATCAGTCATCTCTTCTCCATCCCCATCCAGTCCACCTTCAATAGGCTCTTCTGTAGAGTTATCGGCATTCTCTGAAATGCATTCCTCCTGGATCAACTCTGCACAGTCCTCTATCTGTTTCTTTTGGGCTTCTATAAAGAAAAATAGGATGCAGATACATCCATCACTTGTTCTGGAAATGGAAGTACTGTATGTAAGACAGAGTATGTAAAAGTCTCTTAAAAACATATGCTTCCATCTCTTATGTGCTACCTGATAGGTTATCCAGGATAGAGGCTATTGCACTGAGATTTCTTTTGTAAATACTGAAAGGCTTGTGCATCCCTACGGACACATTAGGCTTGCATCCTTTTGACAGCAGGTCCCTATGCTGCACATACACAAACACCCTTCTAAAAGTTACATTCGTTTGTCAGAATCAGGCCACTGTCTATTTATTGACTTCTAATCTATCCTTTATCAGCAAATCTCAGAGTAATGTACAATCTTTAAAATCACCTTAAAAAATGTTAAATAATTCAAAAACTTTAAAACAATTTAAAACACTACAGAACGATGAAACCATTCCAAGAAAACAAAACTTGCAAACTAAGGGATTGGAAACAAAGCTGTGCCTTCACTATACCCCAAATATTTAAGCAAACAGCCGGTTTTGATCTGGACCGGAAAAAATAGCAATACAGTATTGGTATCAAATGGGCCTCTAAGGTGAGAGTATTTCCTAACCAGGGTGTCACAAACAACATTACACCTATTCTATAGTATGTTGTTACAATTCCCATCTCACTGTAACTAATCAAAGATGCTAGGGGAGGGATCCTATGGGAAACATGATAGCATTAGAAGGGAGGCGTAGTTCTTCTTTCCCAAATAGGAGTGGAACTGAAGCAGAAATTGGCAACTTTGATGTGTACAGGGCCATAACCATGGCAGGGCAACCAAGGCTAAGCTCTCCTCTGCTCACGCCCCTTAGAAGTGGTGAGCTAATGGCAAGCAGCCCAAGCTTATCCATGTACAACCAGAAGCAAAGCACCAGGGGCTACCACCCCACCAAATTATGCTCAGCCACCCCCATAGCAACCTCCTGGATGCCAGAAAAAGAAAGAAAACTAGTGTACATCACTGCAGAAAAAAAGAGGAAAGACAGTGGTTGCAGTTCCTTGCTCTACTTTGGCTGCTGGTTTCAAGAGGAGTTTCTGACAAGCAAGGCATAATGGGAAGGGCAGTTTCTGAGCTAATCTGTTTCATACCCCCAGGAAGCCTCAGGAACTACAAATCCCATAATGGTTTGCTTCTCAGAACCTCTTAGGGCATGGAGCAGACTGTGTCTCCCATTGCCTTCCTGCCACTGAAATTTGGTGGCAAATTATTCAGCTGCATTTTGTCTGCAAACTTATACAGTCATGCTGATTGGAGGATTCTAGGAATAGCAGTTAAAATAAAGTAAAACTCATCCACACTGAACTACTTTTGGCTACTTTGAATAATTTTGTGTAAAGTTCTTTCATTGCCCAAAACAAGGAGGAGTAAACAATGTGCTGTCCTCTGAAGATGCCGGCCACAGAGACTGGCGAAACGTTAGGAAGAACAACCTTCAGAACACGGCCAAAGAGCCCGAAAAACCCACAACAACCAAACAATGTAATAACTTTTTTTTAAAATAGGAAAGATTTTATACTGCTGAACCTGGATAATATGGGATTTAGATATGTTTTGAGATCTTCTAATTGGATGTTAATTTCAAATCCATTTAATTTGTTAAATGCTTGCTCCTAGCTTTTCTTGAATAAGAAAAAAAATAATTTGCATTATGAAACAGAATTACTTGGAATATTCACCAATTTTTAAATGGCAAAACTTCTGAATAATTTCCTTTTTAATACGAATCAACAGCATGAGGATTTTATATAAAAACTGGAAACAAACAAATAGTGACAGAAAACTGAAAGCTTTCATTATGTTTTACATGCATGACTAAGGTTTGTCTCACTGATTTTAGGAAACCTATAAAAAGACAGGAAAGTAATGTGTTTATACTTCAATGTCTTCTGCTAATTAATTCTGTGCTTTAAAGCTGGCAGCAGCAGACGTGGGAAGATGCAACCAAATTACTGAGCTTATTCTTGAGCCCAACATAGGAACTTCTCCGCTAATTATAGCTTGGATATTCAAGCCACAGGAAGAAAGGGACAAGAGATAAACTATGTATCTAGATATATTTTAATAATTAAAAGTTGAGATGAATATGAATTCTGTATCTTAGGGACTTCTGTATAGAAACAACCAGTACCAAATTGACAAGCACCATTTCTCAGCTGTTCTACCACCTCAGAACTGGTTATTTTGTTTCAGCTATATGTTAAAGTTGAAATCTTTTTAGTGGGAAACTGGAGCGATCATCAATCTCCAACACTTTTTTGAGATGTTTTCTGAATGTTAAGAAATTCAAAATGGCTGTCATCATAAAAATTGCTGCCTTCATTGTCATTAACCAGAGATGGGGTCACCATTATAGTGGATAAGGTAAAGGTAAAGGTTCCCCTCGACATTAAGTCCAGTCGTGTCTGACAGTTTCCATGGTCACGTGGCAAGCGTGACTCGACACGGAATGCCGTTACCTTCCCACCAAGGTGATACCTATTTATCTACTCGCATTTACATGCTTTCGAACTGTTAGGTTGGCAGGAGCTGGGACGAGCGACGGGAGCTCACTCCGTCATGTGGATTCAATCTCATGACTGCAAGTCTTCTGACCCTGCAGCACAGAGGCTTCCACGGTTTAACCCGCAGCACAAGCACGTCCCACTGTTATAGTGGATAGGAACTGAATATTTACAAAACACACACACACTAATCAAGAAATTTCCCAACCATCCTCAAGAAAGGTCAGTGATTGAAACAGTTTGTTAATAGGTTAAAGCTACAATTTCTACTCCATCTTATTTTAAAATCTAAATGGCAGCCTCCACTCTCCATTCTTTAGATTGAAAACAGAAGAATTTGTTGTAACTGATGTTCCAATACTCCATTTGAAAGCAGACTCAAGGTATAAAATGTGCCCCATCCCCGGCCATTTGGGGTGGGGAAGAAATCAATAACAGTTAAGTAATGTGCATGTCAAAAATAAGCCCCACTTGGGAGTAAGATATACTCCCAGTTAATACCTCTGAAATATCTGAAAGAGCAAATTTTGAGCAAGGAACTATTTTGCAAAATCAGATCTCGTTGAATGAGTGGGTCAGTATTTTTGGTTAAAATATTTCTCCTCAGTCTCAGCAGGCATACACAGTAAGAGTTGTTGTGGGTTTTTTGGGCTCTTTGGCTGTGTTTTTTAGAGTTGCTTTGTATAAATAATACTGATGACATATACCACTACATTTCAAAATTAAAAAGGCACAAGGTTGTTGTTTTTTTGGCGAGTGTACATGTCATTTAAAGTCAAGGTCAACCACAGTTGTTCCTAAAAACCAGGCATAATGTTTTGACTCTTCTCTGGTATAGTAATTGTCTTGCAGCATGCATTTGCTGTGTATCTGCTGGTGTTAATGTTATTGGTTTTGATGCAGATGTTTTAAAGAGTAACTAGACAGTCCTCTGTGCTTCGTTGTGTCCAATATGAGTCAATACTTTTTTGAGGACTGTGTGAAATAGTTGATGTCTAGTGCAATACCATGGCCTTGGGCACCGAATGACAACCTAGGCATGCTGGAACAGCATCAGTCCTTTACATCAAACATGATCATGAGGAGCAACACTTGGATGGTGTGCCACACTGTTCAGCATATGGGCTGTGGCAGCTCAAATACTACATGGATATGGCATTCTAGACATTTAACCCATCATCAGCTGAACTATTCTACACATAATTTTATGTATTGGATTTGTAAGTATAATATTTATTCACTGAAATATTTAAAGTATATACATAACCAATGGTAATGCCCAGTGAAGAGTATGTAATATTTACTTGTTCCCTTAGCCAACAGATGATGCATCCTAGACACAAAGATGCAAGCTACTCTGTGTGCCATTGCAGCTGTGAATATGTGTGTGAGGACAGAAGTTTTGTTCCCCTAGAATATTAACAGCGACGTCAATGTATACCAAGAATGACATCACATCAACAGGATTTCCCTCCAAAAGATGTATCCTTTGGGAAGGAATAGCTGGGAATGTCTTGTGACATTGCAGGTACATGTGCTAGGGGTGGATATCCATTCACAACACGGATATAGTGACAGGAACAAGACAGCACTGCAAATCAAGATGCCAGAATATGTAGACATATTCAATACAGTAAAATGGATACGTCTGACATCAGAAACAGCAATACACAGATGTTCAGGACACTCTGCTACTGATCTGAAAGAGTCTTTCCTAGGAAAAACAAATAAAGGGAAAATTACAGTAACAAATAGGTACTGTAAAAACAGAAATAAGTCTCCACAAGAAGAGCATGGTGGAACAAAAGTAACCATTATCGTGTAAACAATAAACAGGAACCATAGCTTAAAGAAAGTCATGAAACTGACCATAGAAAAAGGCATTAAATGCACCCTTACAGTAATCTTTGTCTTATATAGCAGTTCATAGATTGGGATATTTTTTTAACTCCACATTTGAACATACAATTTCTCCAAAATTTTTCTCACCACAGAAGTGACAATATGATTGATAACTTCACACTGGATTAATTCACCCTTTAATGAGCTGTCAAGAAGTATAGATCATTTTCACGTACCTGCTTCAGCCTTCTGCTGCTTTTCAATCTTCTCCAGCCTTCCTAGCAAAGAGTCAATTTTTGTTTTGATTTGTGTTAATTCCTTCTTGATTATTTGCAACTCGTCTGACTTCACTGAGTGGAAAAAGAATAACAACAAAGAAGGTACCAACCATGAAACAAATCATAATTCAAAAGGAAATGAATTTCATGTTGTACATTGCAAGGTATAGACCTTATAATTTATTTCTGTAAAGCCTTATTTCTTTAGTGGGGTATAGGTCCCTTTCTATACACAGTATAATATTTATAAATTATACACAGGATTTAGCTTTCCTTTGTAATATGAACAGAAAATATATTTTGATATTTGTTTTTTTTTCTGGTGAAGAAAAATTGAACTGGTGAATTTTATTCAATTAAAAAGAGTATTTGGATGTGCCTCTGGATTTATTCCTAATCTGGATGCCTGGGTCATTTCAGGTTTTTTTTGGCAGGGGAAAGGGACTGAAATATTCCTGCACCCACAAAGCTTCTAGTTTTCATCCTTGCCTAACAAATCTATTCAACCACTATTGGGCTCTATTTTTCATAACTGATGTATAAACAATATGCCATCCCAAATGTTCGTAGTAACTGAGATGATAGCATTATACCCTACAGCTAATGAAATTTTGTTTTGTGATGAAATATTTGGAAGAAAACAGTCAATTCAGAGTGAGGGACATTGTTCCTATATTTGCCACCCAGTGGGAAATCAGTTCACATAAAGTAGAAAAGGAAATTTACTGGGGAACATTATTTTCAACTTTTGATACACTCACTCATATGAAAATATTTCCTAATATGAAACGGTTTGTGAAAATTGACACCTTTTAGCTACAACCTGAACATGACTATCTCCACATGATTAAATCTTCTTTTGGTAGACACATGCTAAATATAATCGATCTATCCACAGACATATTTTATGAAGCTGGCTGTCTTACCCTGCAATGTTGAAACTGGTTAGTGGCTTTGAAGTCAGAATTAATTTATGGATACAGTTATTTGTTCCCAACCATCTATTCTGGCTCCACAAACAATAATGAGGAAGCTGTTTAATATTTCCCCATTTACTATATCACATTTATAAATATTCTAGGAACATCCATTTCATCTTTTACGCGCGCACGTACAGTTTGTCATGAAACATCAACACATATCTTTGCATCTGCTAATTCTTTAGATAGAAAACTACAAGCAAGTTGTTACATGGCTGATTTTAAAGGAAACTTCTGCCAAAGTTGGAAAGATATATTTTTCAAGCTAGCAGATTTAACAGGGGGAAAAGTGGCTAGCAATTACTCAGATTCAAAGGAAGATGCAAATCCCTCAAGCTCATTAGGAAAGCAAGATAGGAACATTTAAATCTTCGCTCTAGTTCTAACAGACAATTTACTACTTTTAGAAACTGGCCATCCTGCAATATTTTTGCACACGCGCGCACACACACACACACACCAAAGCCTAGTGTTTTCCTTGCCAAGCTGCAATGTCTGAGAGCTATTATCTCATTTTTATTTCTGAAAATGTCCCAGTTGAGGTTACTGAAGAAGTTCTGTGGGGAATTCAAACTGTGACACCCTGCAGTACTCATTCCAGCACTACTGCTAGAACCTTCCACTACTGCCATCAGGAAAGGCCACAGGGATTCAAAGACACAGGAGACCCATTAAACTTGGCTGGAAATAAGAACATCTGTCTTAAAGCCTAGTGTAGCTATCCTTTCTGTCAGCCAGTCATTATTTTCATGTGCAGATTCACAACAAGTGTCTCATGGAAGGTTCTTCAAGGAAAGGCTGAATACGTACACTGAAGTATGTATTCATTCTAGGCTTCCACACCAGTCCCTTCCTCTGATTATGACAGGGACATCTTAATCAAGGTAGCCAGGTCTGCAGAACCCTATTCCCTAAGATTTCAGGACTAAAATCTGAGACCAGGGGGAGTTTCCTGTTGTAATGCTTCAAGAATACTTATGGGTCAGAATGTTGGTCCTCACCTCAATAAAACTTTGGCAGACTATTTTTGTGGATCCAGTATATCACTAGTTACTCTTTTAGATAACTGTATAAGGAAATTGGTATTTTAGAATAATTTTTATATTTTATTTTTCTGTGCATTTACCTGAGTTTTATATTGTCCCCACTTTGCTGAACTTCAATTTGTTAAATGGTGTACTGTATATTTTTTGTAAAATACATAAATAAACTCCTGTTATTTGCAATATAATGCTTTCTATTTTGTGCAGAACTTTATAGTCTTTGTCTTTCTCAAAATTTGGAAAGGTTAGAATATGAGGAAAGGGGGAGGTCTAGGGATGTGTTCAAGGTCATCCAGTGAAATGATGACCCAAGAAGAATCTGAAGCCAAGAATTTCAGAAGTTAGAAACTGTTTTTCATTTTTCTTTACTAGTAGGATTCACTATTTTTAAAAAGATATACAGTTTAATTTGGGAAGATACACAGTAGGATAATAAAATATCATATAGAAATAATGTCTTACTGCATGTCTAAAAAATTGCTCTTCTTTAAATGTGCAGTATTGGATGAACCTCCTTTTAATTTTTCTAGTAAATGCTCCAAAAGATTGAGGACCTGCCAGATCAAATCAGCAAAATTACATCTTCTTCCCATCACCTTTTAAAATCTGCTAGCTAAGGATGAGAAAGGAATTGACTCCAAGAGCGAATCAAATATGAAAGCCGCTCCCTTGTTCCTTCTCCCTCCAAATCGCCCCTTTGAAAACCATTTGCTGGATTTCTCCTATGTATTTTTCAGGGCTCTGGGTATGAGACACATCTTTTCTCTAACTATGCAAACATCATTCCCAGAATTAATTCGAAAAGATGAAAGTTGTGCCTCAAGGCACTTCCTGTTAGACTAGTGGACAGCTGGCTTCCCCACTCTGATACTCAGATTCTATTCTAACTGGAGGAGTGTGCAAATGGTCTCTTGGAATTCTCTGTCCTATGTGTGGACAGAACAACTTAAGCAGAAGGCACCACTTTAACAAATTTCAGGGGTGGTGGTGGTCATAATATGTTTTCCACCAATCACACCATGGTGGGGATCACCATTAGCAGTACTTCTCAGTAACATTTTGTAATTAATTACTGTTGTATGCTCTTGTAACTGGCAGCAGCAGCAACTGCATCAGTTGCATTTTAAGTATATCTTTATTCAAAATGTTGGAAAAAATAAGGAAATATTTGAAGAAAATTCTTTGTCTAGGGAGGTGAGAAAAATATTTTCTGGAAATGCTTTCTATGACATTTCAGTTCAGCATGTTTTAAAAGCACTAAAGCTTTGGCTCTAAGGGAGGGCAGAAGAAATGTGTACATCGCTTGGTCTTCCTTCCTTCCTTTTACTCTAATAAGGGAAGCAGGGCCTGTAGATCTCACCCACTGTGTAAACCTCTAATGACTTCTACAGATCAAAGATTTCACTGTAGGGAAGACCTGCAGTGACAAGCTCTTCACAGCACAATGGAAATGAAGAAAAGAAAAAGAGTGATTTACTGCTTCCGTGCAATTTATGAACAGCTTCTTAAAAATCAGTCTTCTTTCTTGGGGTGTTCAAATATGGAAAGAGTGAATCAGGTTATCATCTTGCTGTTGTTGCTTAGCCAATCTCTAATATAAATATAAAGCCAGCATCACAATGTACCACTAATGCTTTTACCATCAGTGTCTCCCATATTATCAGGACCTGGTCGTACCAATATGTAAGAAGATTAGTGTTCTGGAAGAGACAAGGGACCCATTTTCAGCCACAACCACAGCCGGAATTAAATAGTGCTGCCTATTAAATTTGCAAAATATCCAGGTGAATTCAGCATGTAAAGGGAGAGTTACATTTTTGGAGGTGAACTCCCAAAATGCTACAGCCACTGGCTAGAATTCAAGCTGTTTAAACCTACACTTTGATTTCTGAAGATGTGTGAGATATTCTTTGCAAAGAAACTCCTGAAGGGAGACACGATTCCTTTTATCATGGAGACCTAGATATCAAGGAATATCTTGCAGAGGATTTCTGCCATGTTGCTCTGCTCCATCTTTAGATAAATGATATCTATCTCACCACAACATGGAAGAGTAGGTGTCTGATCTGTCAGCCAGCCACATGCTAACCACTGATAGGAAGTGTCACAGAGAAGTAGTTCAGCTATTCAGAAGTAGCCAGCCTTTATGATTATGTTCCTGGTCATACTCCAACTATTTCGTGGGCATTTTGCTCCTAGTACTGAAAAACTCCTCCATGCTCTTTTTGCTATAGCCTCCAGCTCTGACAAAAACATGAATATTGGAAGGAGAGGCAAAAGCCTCAGGGCCCATCATGTTAGGGAAACAGCTTAGAGGATATTTCCAAAAAAGTGAGTTGCAGTCCACAACACCACATGGCAAACAAAGACTGCCATCCTTTAAGGTGCCATAATACTTTTTATTTGTAAGCCACATCATTTAGCAATATCTGCGCTTCTTTTAATATGGTAGATATGCATTCTTACAAAAATATTTACTTCCATGAAAACATAAAGGGATTGAAACACATTACTCTAATATGAAAGAGGCCAAGTACAGTACTGAACTCATGCTGTGTGGCACTGAAGCAGGAAGTTTCAAAAATGTGTATCCTCTATCTTTCCTTGGCAATTCCATATGCGGTAACAACAAATGAAATAACAAATAATGTTCTTCATGACATCACAATTTAGTTGCATCAATCTGCCTTATGATACAAATAGAGCAATATTTCTCATTATATTAATTTTGTATTTCCCTTTAATTCAGTGTCTGATTTTTTTAAGGATTCCACCGCAATACAGAAATGAATTCACAAGTTCCCTTCCCTATCAAAGTAATCTTCAAAACTGCAAAGACTATGTAGTTGCAAAAATGACATCCTTCAGGTCTTGTTGAAAGGCTGAAAACAAATATGTTAATTAAATATGCATTTATAAGGTATATACACAACTCACATACCAAAACATCCAAGAAGCCTCCCTACCATTTTTGGAATGATAAATCCAATTTTGCTTTTGCTACTTGCACAGTGGTTTCTGAGACTTATTTGGAACATCTTAAAGCTGAGTTCTACATTTACCACAACATAGGTAAATGTAAAGGTTCCCCTTGACATTTAGTCCAGTCGTGTCCAACTCTAGGGCACGGTGCTCATCCCCGTTTCCAAGCCATGGAGCCAGCGTTTGTCGGAAGACAGTTTCCGTGGCCAGCGCGACTAGACACGGAACACCGTTACCTTCCCACTGAGGTGGTACCTATTTATTTACTCGCATTTACATGCTTCTCAACTGCTAGGCTGGCAGGAGCTGGGACAAGCGACGGGATCTCACTCCTTCGTGTGGATTCGATCTTATGACTGCTGGTCTTCTGACTCTGCAGCACAGAGGCTTCTGCGGTTTAACCCACAGCACCACCATGTTACCACAGCATAAGGTAAATGCAAATAAAGTATGTGCACATGTATTGAAGGAGTTATGCGTGAATCCACAGCCAAAGCACTGAACCAATTGTTATACATCAAGAATGGCCTTCCAGATTCTGCTGAATTTTAACTTTTTATCAGCTGGCTGCAGTGGTCAGGAAAGAATGTACTTACAGTTAAGTATCAAGAGCGTACATGTTGCCCACTCCCACTGTACATTGCAAACTCTTTGATAGAGTTTCAGAAAACCCTAATTTCCAGAAGACATCCTCATTTTTCAAACAATTGTCCAGGTGCCTGAACATGCATGTTTGTATAAAGCCTTGGTGACAGGGTGAACTTAGGAAACCACATCACTATTAAGCACTCCTGCTACACAGAGATAACCCTCGCTGATGCAATATTGAACTCACATTTTGATCCTGATGACGACGTTCCACTTGATGTAGATCTTGATCCTCCTTTCATGGAAAACACCCCCTTTCCTCTGCGCGTTGCTGTAACTGTTACACGTGGGCGTTTTAACGGAATTACAGCACGAGGCGGTGCAGGCACACGGCTATGGTAATCAAACAACCTTAAGGAAATGAAAGCAGAGGTTTCACAGTACCTCATGGTGATTTAATGTCAGTAAGATTTTGCAGACTAAATTTCCATGTTTCCTCAGAGAAAATTACCTCATGAAATCTCAGTGACTTACAGTTAAATTAGGCTTCAAGGCTTTTCGTGCATTAAGAGGCACATTTTTATTTCGAACATAACCAAGCATCCAGTTTTCAGTGATGAATACAGCATTAGTTTGTCTTTATTTGTGTTATGAAAATTTTGCTTCATATAATTGCATTTTACCGAGTAATTATATCACACAGTAAAACAAAGCAAAACATGTAGTCATGGTTTCAACTTTTTTCCTTTTATAACTTCCTAATAACTTTCACAGGAGAGATAGGCAACCTTGATATATCTCTGGGCCAATTTTCTACCACTGTAATTTTCTGAGGACTGCATGGACCTGCAAAAATGCTTCCAAATGAACACAGTCCTCTTCTGGTTTTGAAAAATTACTCTCTTTGGGTGTTGAACAGTGTGGATGTGGAGATAAAATTGCATATTTCAAAGGTCTCTTTTAATTAGAGCCCCTGGAGCCTTCCATTTCCTTAGTACACCATTTTGTAGAAGAATAATTATGTTTAGTAGAGGTCTCTGCTGCTGCAAGAGGAGTTTTCACTCGACCCTGGTTTCCAGTGGCATTTTGGCTGCCCAGTCCTGGAACCAAATGTGATTGGGCTGATCTCTGCCAAATGACAAGTAATTAATTTTAATATTCTGAAAAGTAGATAAACCTACTATTTTTAGGTGTTTTTGATTTAGTAAGGGGTGAACAATGCATACAAACATAGTATTCTACTTGTTTCTGGGAACAGCATCTGTTTAGCATATATTCACACACAGACACACAGTTCAGATGATATAATCTCACATTACAGAATAATTTTAATTAAAGTTTGTTTCTACCCCCCCCCCGAGGTCAGTGGGACTTGCTTTGCAGTTAACTTAAATGGGTTAAATGCAACTGTTAATCTAAACAACCTAATAACACTGGATCAGTGGGACTTACATTAAATGTGGATTTAAACAAATCCCATTCATCCCATACATTTAATCTTGGGGATAACATTTGGATTTAGGACTCTAAACATACAGTAAATTCATCACAGTTAATTCAGTGAGCCTATAAAGTAAACTCAGTGAGTTAGGTATCTAACTATGGAGCAAGAGGCTAGGAATTTGATTCCCACTGAGCGTTCCAGGACAAAAGCCTGCCTGTACAGCCTTCAGCAAGCTGTGCAGTCCTATGGCAACCCAGAAGAAGGGAACGGTGAACCATCTCTGAGTACTCTGTACCTAGAAAACCCCCAAAAGGGTTGCCATAACTTAGAATTGACTTAAAGGCACTTAATCAACTAATTAAGATAGTAAGTAACACAAATCCAAGCTACATCTTCCAATAAAGAAATCATAATTTGCAACAATGTCAGATATGAAATTTTCTCAATTTAATTTGTTTTTGTTTTCTGACATCTCTTGGACAGCAGCTTGCTAAGTTTTAAGAGAGCCATGTATGTTCATGTCATCATCATAAAGAGCCTAACAATTGGGGTAGCAGAGAGGGGACTCTTCTAAATGCTGCCTTTTACAATAATAGTTGTTGTCCCTGTGTGTGTGTGTGTGTGTGTATACATGCAGTATATGTCTACTGTAGATAGATATTTGTATATCATCATATTATTAAGCATGTTAAGAAATTCATTGAAATGAATGTGTGGGTCTTTGTTTTGTTTTCCATATCTCCTAACTGATTTTGCATTTTCAAAATGATTAATGGGTTTCATAATGGTCAACAGCAACATTATTTAAAGAAGGCTTCTGGCATAAGCAAAACCGAATGCTGGTATATTTAAACTATACATAATGTATAACATACACATATAAAGTATTCACCCTGGCTTGAAGGTAATATGTAATAGATACAAAAATCTGAAGAATGAGCATCCATGACAGATGCAATGAATATACTTTATTACAAGTAAAATGTGAATCTCACAATGGAGTTTAAGCAGAGTAAGAGTCCCAACACAGCTTCTTGAACAACTATTGGCAAATGTAATCTTGTACTTGTCTTAACATGAGCAGCTTCTTCCTATATTGCCTCTAATAAAAGCAGAGCCAGTCAAGCTACAGCTTATCTATCTACCAGGCACCAGCCTTCCCTGTCTTAAAAAGTCCCTTCTGCATCCAACAGGGATGGGCACATTGTAAAATTCACAAACACAAACTTCCTTTCACCATGTCTGGTTTTTGCTTGGTTAGTTTTCTCCTCAACCTTCTTTAATGTGATGAAATCAGTCCCTTTTCTGTGCAACCCTCCTGCTTATTCTGTGTTGATTTTAAAAATGGTGTGCATTGATTTAACACATTCCTTCCACCAACTTAAGTATCTCTTGGCAGTGTTTTGTACATATTTGAAAAGTGCCCATTTTTCTATTTACCCTTTTCAAATGAGTACAATTTTGAGATTCCAGACATCTGTGTGAAGATCTTATTTCATTGCCCACTTCATTTGACCGCGAGGGACAAATTCCTCGCCTCCTTTCCACAACGAAAGCCCTGGCTTACTGACGAAGCATATTTTAGTTTTATTTGGAGTACAATTTTGAGATTCCAGACATGTGTGAAGATCTGGGAGCAGAAGTATGTGTGGTTTATAGTCTGGGAAGAGACAATTATGACAGGTTTATTGAACTTATAGCCTGCAACTAAACTCCTTGTATATTCTTAGCAATTGAGATGTGTTACAAAATGTCTCAGAATAAAGCCCTTGGGCTTGCATAGAATTAGCCCTGCAGCTAAGGCCATGGTATCTAAAATCATACACTCACAGAACTGTAGAGTTGTGAGGGAACCCTAAGACATGCCCATGCTAAAGATGTCTGTATGCGCTTTTTATGCCAATAAAGGTAAAGTAAGTAAGTGAAGATCTGGGAGCAGAAGTATGTCTGGTTTATAGTCTGGGACGAGACAATTATGACAGGTTTATTGAACTTATAGCCTGCAACTAAACTCCTTGTATATTCTTAGCAATTGAGATGTGTTACAAAATGTCTCAGAATAAAGCCCTTGGGCTTGCATAGAATTAGCCCTGCAGCTAAGGCCATGGTATCTAAAATCATACACTCACAGAACTGTAGAGTTGTGAGGGAACCCTAAGACATGCCCATGCTAAAGCAGAAAATGAACTTCTAAAGCACCATTAAGAGACATCCCATCAATTAAGATGGAGCCATAATCCGTGTGCCACGGGCTCTGAACAAAAACCACGCATAATGCAAGCAATTCCTAGTCACAAGTAACATATCAAAATAAATTGAGCCCCATGAGAAAATGAATAAAAACCTTTCACCATCTTATGTGCAGATATGACATTATTGTAATTTATGTACCAAAGACAGGAACGTACCGATTGTAGAAATCATCTCTGTAGTAATCATAATCAAAAACATAACCACTGCAAAAAGAAGAGGGGGAAAAATCACATGAGGTGACACAAGCAGCAGCCTACATGATCTGAGAAATATCTTTATGTACCTTTGTGAAATTTCAATGCTAATTGAGATCCATGAAGTCTCTACTTCATAGTCTGTGCTGATAAACTCTATAGCAGCTTTATTAGACCCCAGTTGCTCATGGAAGTACTTTATGAAACTATTAACACTGCATGTGAGCACTGCAAGTAGAGTTGAAGTCTGGTGTTACTTACACAACTTGACCAACTACTCAAGTCTGCCATTGTGGTACTCCCTTGATCCAAACAAATGGGGCTGCAGAAGCAATCAGTGAGCAGAAATGCATGGAAAGGTAGAGTATACAGATGGCAGCATCTTCCTGAAACAGGTACGCTCCAGCAGAACCTGACATGTTACTTTGAAAAAGTAATTTTTTTCTATTACTCATTATAATGTTATCCAAACTAATCCACTTTGTTTTAAATTCTAGTTACATTATTGATTGCATTGCTTACTGCTTTGCACTTACTTCCCGTCACTTCCCTTTAGAGAAATACCTAGCATAAAACTTGGTTTTAAGCTAACACAATGGCATGACACTTTAAAGACTCTAGTCAATATGCCTCCAAAAATGTCTCAGAGTGCCCCTTTCAAAGTACCTTTAGGAAGTAACTAGAACACAATACTCCTACAGCCATTAGAAAAACATTGATGCAACTCATGTTACTTTCAAAATGTTACAACTTTGTTATTCTGAAAAAGTAATTAGCTACAGACAACTACATTACTTTTAACTGGTGCTTAAAAGCTCTTCCTTCAAATATGTATTGAGCTACAAGTTCCTTAATTCCTAGCCAGTGATTTTAAAAACCATAAAAGGAATAGGTAGGATACATTTGCTCACCAAGAGCTGACACTCATCAGCAGAATGAACAGGCCCATGAATCATTAAAAAGGAGATTGAAAATAAAACAGCCAACATTACAATGCCATTGTACAAAACGCTGGTAAGGCCGCACCTGGAGTATTGTGTACAGCAGCGGTCCCCATCTTTTTAGGGACTGTGGACCGGTTGGGGGGGTGTTGGCTCTGGGGGGGCAGGGGCACCCCCGGGCTCGCGGGTGAGCGTGTTACACTTGCAGAGGGGTGTGCCACAGTTGCGGAGAAGCGTGTTGCACTTGTGGAGGGTGTGTCGCGCTCACAGAGGGGCATGATGCACTCATGCGCATGCTCGCACCTGCAAGCACAACACGCCCCTCCACAAGCACAACACGTCTACCGTGTGTGCGTGCAAGGGGGCGGAGAGCAGTGTCCATGGCCTAGTTCAAGGAATCCCACGGACTGGGGGTTGGGGACCCCTGGCATACAGTTTTGGTCACCGCATCTCAAAAAAGACATAGTGGAACTTAAAAAGGTGCAGAAGACAGTGACGAAAATGACTACTATGCTTATGAGGAAAGCCTCCTTATGAGGAAAGGCTAGAGCATTTGGGGCTCTCTAGTCTAAAGAAAAGGCGCCTGAGGGGGAACCTGATTGAGACGTATCAAATTATGCAGGGGATGGATCAAGTGGATAGAGGGAAGCTCTTTTCTCTCACAATACCAGAACCAGCGGACATGCACTCAAATTGATTGCTGGGAGAGTGAGAACATACAAAAGAAAGTGTTTCTTTACCCAGCGTGTTGTTAGTCTGTGGAACCCCTTGTTACAGGATGTGGTGATGGCATCTGTCCTAGATGCTTTTAAAACGGGATTGGACAGATTTCTGGAGGAAAAATCCATTGCAGTTTACAAGCCATGATGGGGATGTATAATCTCCAGGCTTAAAAGGAAGGTACCTCAAAATGGCAGATTCAGGGGAGGGGTATAAGTTGTTTCATGTGCTCCCAAAGGCATCCAGTGGGACTACTGTGAGATACAGGAAGTTGGACTAGATGGGCCCTTGACCTGATCAAGCAGGGCTCTTCTTATGTTCTTATGGGTTCATTCTCTTCCCCAACAAGATGAGATGTATTGTCTTTTAGTAAATTGCAACAATTATTCCTAAATTTGCATTTATACATGTAAATTAGCAGGTGCAAGTGTTATATAAAGCTATGTCCTCCTCTGCTCTCTGTTTTGATCACGTATTTCTTTCTTTCTTTCTTTCTTTCTTTCTTTCTTTCTTTCTTTCTTTCTTTCTTTCTTTCTTTCTTTCTTTCTTTCTTTCTTTCTTTCTTTCTTTCTTTCTTTCTTTTTTTTGCAATATAAATACGAACACCCGTTTAATACAAGAGCCTCAGATGGACCAGGCTTGTGGATCTGGCTGCATATCTTTAGATTCTGTTCCAGAATTTGGAACCTTAAGAAAAAATGAAACAGGAACCAATAGCACCGAGACCTTGTAGCTAAAAGCCCTTGTGCAGGTGTTACATGCATGTAGGATCTCACTGTGTTGAATCTGCTGTGGGCTCGTGCTTTTGGCTCCACCCCCATGCCTTTCTCCTCCAACATCTATGCTTCCGACACAACTGTTTGCAAAGAGGACACCATCCACATGGAAAGGACTGTTTGTCTGTCAAGGCTTGCTTCCGTACAGAGGCACTTGGTGCAGCTGTCACAGAATTGGGGCATGTGCTTGTGGGCATGCAGATTAAAATGCACCCCTCCAGCATGATAAGACCTGGAAGCAAGCATGAAACAAATGGAGACCACATGTGACCCCAAGGCCATTTTTGCATTCCTCATCACCTGAGATTTCCAGTTGTCTGGAGATTTCCCTTTGAATAACTTTTTAAAATATTATTTTTAACAAAAAACCACTGTGCAAGTTAACAACAATAACAAAAAACCAGTGTAATAACCTAGATGAAATGTGGTCAGTGGCGAATCTGAAAAATGGACTTTGGGTCTGCTGAACTTACCTACCCCTGCCTTACAATGTGCAGTTGATCTTAAGGGTGTTTACAGAGACATTGATTCAAAAGATGTGGAAGTTCTCAGGCAGCACAGGAAGTGCAATAAGAAAGAGAAGACTGTTAACCTGCATAATTCTTCTTGCACTTACGCTCTGTCTTTATACTTCCTCTGCAATTAAAAAAAATTCTCCATTCTTTGCAGAGAAGGCCCACAAGAAACAGCAACAAAGGAACAAAGGAATGTACCTGGCTTTCTGAAATGTGCTGTTGTACTTTTTGTATGTTTGAAAAAGTTGATAAATTCCTATCCTCTTAAACTTTACACCTTTATATAATCCTAGAAAGTGAAAAGAGGAAGAAAGCGAATGGAACAAAGCAACCAACCTGAAAATTGAAAACAATAAAATCCCAAATCATGACAGGAAATGACTGTTCCATTTGTAGTTACCTAGGGGCATAGCATGATGCATTATTCACTCAATCCTATTTCCATACACAATTATCTACATTTTGTGGTACCATAATGACTTCTTGTTATTGTTGTCTTTTAAAACAACCCACAACATTTCTGTTTCTGCAGACTTAACTAAATGAGAGTGTGGTGCTGTAAAAATGGCAGAACTATACATTACAGGTAAAAAAAATCACTATAAGGGGAATTTCTTAAGTGCTAATCATGTGTGATGATCAGGAGGAAGTTTTCTGATTTCCCATCATCGGCATGCAGATTAGCATGCTTTCTTTTGTGTTTGGTCTCCAAGCAGAAACCTAAATCCTTTTTCAGTTGATTCCTCAGACATCAAACATCCCATCTTTAAAGATGTGGCTAAGCTGTTCTGGCCACAAAAAAATTCCAAAATCCCTGTTGTGGTGAGACCTTATTATTTGGCCAAGTAGAAGGATTGTTACAACATGCAGTTTGGAGTCAGGCAGTTAGAGATTAGTGTGACTGCAGTTACTTGCAATACATATTTTGGACTTACACTGTTTTAACATTCAAAAGACTTTTCTACACGATCAGCTGTTTAATAAATAGGTTGCTAGATTTTTCTCCATAACCTTATTTCTTGCCTGATCTATATATGCAGCAGTTTTAAGGTGTGGGAAACATAATTTTAAAGTGTGCTACTGTACTCCACTTTCCCCACAACCGCAGGCAGAAAACTGGCCTCACAGTGAATCGGCTGAACTAGAAACTTTCATCTCCATTTGTCATTTTTAACTCATTGGGACGTTCTTATTTTTTATCATAAGGATATATATTTTTTAAAAAATAGCATTCATCTTCTAGAGCAATACAGTCCACCTTGTCCTTCAGCATTTTGGGGCCCCAGTGGATCTCATGTATCATTTACACCGATCATGTGAATAGTAACCATGTATAAACCAAGCCTTTTCACTTTCAAGACTGCTACCCTGGGGAAGAGCAGAGAAAGGTAGAAGAGTGACTGGCTCCCTTTCTCCAGCCCTGCTGCATCTGATGGAGTTCTGAGCCACTGCCCCTCCTGTGTTGGTCCATTCTCCCGGTTTAGTGGCTGGTTTCTCGAATGTAGAGCTCTGAACACTCCTACTTGCATTGGACCACATATACTATATTGCTCCTGTTGTGTTTTGGTGTCCAGTCTTTTGGGTGGAAGAGTCTCTGCCTTAGTATGTTTGTGGGTTTGAAGCGCATAGGTATGTGGTGTTTATAAAAAATCCTTTTGAGCTTTTCAGACACACTGGCCATGTAAGGAATGACCAGGTTCTTCCACTGGCTCTGGGTCTCAGACTTTTCCATTGTCCTGCTGGGTCAAGACATTGCCCTGTTAAAGGCCCATTTTGCATATCCACAGGCCTTAAAAGCTGTCTTTAGATGTCTGTCTGCCTTCTTCTTGGCTTCTGTGGAGGTGGGGATGTTTTTTGCTCTCTGGTTTGACGTCCTGATGACCCCTACTTTGTGTTGCAATGGGTGGGGAAAGCCAAACCGCAGGTATTGAGCAGTGTGTGTAGGTTTTCTGAAGACGTCTGTAGGACCACAATCAGCAGTGTTCCTTCATTTGAAGGACAATGACTCTCATTTGATGACCAAGATTTACTCATTTTGGACTGAGAAGATAGGTGGT